ATTGATGTCTGTGGTTTTCCCCCTTTTCTTGTTTTCTAACAGGAGACCTGGAAGCATTTAAGAAGCAGGCATTTGTCCTGAAGGAGGGAGTCGAATACAAAATAAAGATCAGCTTTAAGGTGAGACCATGTCGGCCTGACGGTGTGTCTGAGGGGTTTCTGACTCCACCAATAGATGTTTTTTTAGGTCAGTGAACTGAGATTCATCCTTCAAGACGTCTCTTCTAGAAACACTGTTGGTCGAGGATCCACTTGTTTGTTTTAAATATTAACTCATTAATACTGTGACGGTGTTTCCTAGAGCTGAGTCTGGTGTTGGCTCTGAGGAAAGAGACGAGTCAAGTTAGTTTATTTATTATAAAGAATATTTAATCACAACATCAGACTGACGTTAAAAGTCAATTAATAAAGCGTTAAATTAAATCAAGTCATTGGATGAGGAACTGGAGGTAGTGGTACTGAAATGAGGTCACATCCAGGATCAACAGCGAGTCATAAATACAGTCGTGACTCGATAATCCGACACTAAATGTAAAACCTTCTCTTATGTCGGATAGCAAGGCCAGCAGTTTTTGACGACGCTCAAATGTGTTTCTCGTCTCTAAAATGTTCATGTGGCTGATCCACGTACTAATGAAGCTACAAGGGCTCAAAATGATGGAGAAAATATTGTTAAATGTTGTCTCACCTCTACATACTCAGAAAACCTCTTGATTCTTCAACATCCAGCAACAACAGGAGATCAGTCAACGGCTCGATCCTGCATCATCACATCCACAACATTTATAGTCACTGTTCTTGGTGCCTGTAATCTTGTTAGAAAAATGCAGAACATCTCGTCTTACCAAACGTTTTGTGTGTCCTCAGGTGAACAACGAGATCGTTTCGGGTCTGAAGTACGTGCAGCAGACGTACAGGAAAGGAATGAAGAGTAAGTGAACAACGCCTCGTGACCTGCCGTGAAAAGTCAGCGTCCCTTAAATGTGTCGACCTTTGTCAGAAAAAAAATCTAAAAATGGACAAATAAGGCTTTGAAAAAAGTTCTCAAAGCCGTTTTGTCTCATTTGCAAGTTAAATTTTTCAAAAATACTGAAAAGCAAAAAGCAGGGGAAAAAAATCTTGTTGAATCTATTTGTTAATTTAAAAAAAATGTAAAATGCAAAAGAAAAGACAAAAAAAAGGATAACAGCTCGTAGGATCAAATTATAAAATAAAGTTCTACAATATTAAGAACCCACTCACAGAAACCATTGAAAACAAGCCACAGGATTGTTGTGAGACGGGTTTTTCGGGGTGTAATCAGTGGTTTAGATGTAACTCGACATCGTTGCTGCCTCTAGAAGGTGCAGATCTATAAAGCTGCTGCATCATGAACACCCCGTCTCATCTGCAGTTCTTCTAACGTATAAACAAACACCGTATGGACAAGTTTAAGAAGGTAAATACTCCTTCTTTCTTGGTCTGGCTGAAAAGATCCCTACAAAAACCACTCGTTATCCCAACCAAGCTGTCAGAAAAGACATCACCTCAATTGTGTCCAGAGTGTCTGAGAAACGTGGAAGTATTTTCTCCAAACCCAACATCCCTGTACCTTCAGACCCAGCAACACTTTCAGACAAAAACTGGTCCTGATAAAACGACCAAACGCAACCGGTCGTATAGGCGGTCCAATGCAGCAAGGAGTGCACAGACCTCTATACAGGGGAGGACGGATAGAACTCAGCAGTCCACCTTCGTCTAAAAGATAAGGGACACTAGTTTAAAGGACAACCATTCTGGGTGGAAAGGACAAATAGGTAGAAAAGGGAGTGAAGGAAGCAATGTTTAAACACAAAAAAAGGGTCTACGGCGCCACTTATGAGGTGCTTACCGTAGAGTCCTGACTTCCTCCTCGGGTGGTTTCACCATCACATCCAGTTGTTTTCCACCGAAGCTCTTAAGAAGCTGTAACCCTGATCTCCTTCCTCCTCTGCCGACAGTCGACAAGTCAGACTACATGGTGGGCAGCTACGGGCCCCGTCCGGCCGAGTACGACTTCCTGACCACGATGGAGGAAGCTCCCAAAGGCGTCCTGGCCCGCGGCAACTACGTCATCAAATCCAAGTTTACCGACGACGACAAGAACGACCACCTGTCCTGGGAGTGGAACCTCAACATCAAGAAAGACTGGACAGATTAAAAGAGGCCTTTGTGTTGAAGGGGGTTGTGGGGGCGGGGGAGGGCGAGAGGAAGGAGAACCCCTCGGCCCCCCCCTCCCCTCCTCCCGTCCCCGCCCTGCGTCCACCATCGCAGCCTTGTTTGTTTTTACTTTGTCGTGCATTTCATGTTCATGTCGTACATTTCATGCCTTCATTCCTGCCTCGCTGTCTTAACTCCCCGACTTCCTCCCTTCCCCCTTCCTCCCCCCTCCCCACCTCTCTGAGCATCAGTAGCAGCAGCAGTAGCAGTACCCTCCCTCCTCCCCCCTTCCCCTCCCGTCCGTCCGTCCGTCCATCCATCACCCCCCTACCTGCTCTCGGTTGCACACAAGCCGTTCATGCCATCCTCCACCTTCTCCACCGAGCTGTACCATGTAGCTCCTTACCTCCTCACACCTCTACTTCTTCTTGTCCTGGTTTTTTGCTGCTTGAAGAGATTAACCCCTTTCCTCCCCCTCCCCCCCCACCTTCCACCTCTCCAGAATGGTGTCTTCCTCTCTCAGTATGAAGTACATGTGGAAAAGCAACTGTACAATCAACTTTTGTTTGCCTTTTTTTATATAATTGTATCAATGGTCGTGTAATGTGACTGTATTCACATCACTTGTTGTGTTCATAGCAGGCCCCACCGCATCCACCACCCCTTCCCCCAACCCGCCGCCCAACGCTATCACCGCAGCATTCCTTTGCTTGCCTACTCGCTCGCTGTCTTTTGATATAATTACCAAAACCTGCCTTGTGAAAACAGCTGATTCAGAGCTGCTCTACGGCACCTCCCTCCCTGCCCTAAATGTATTCACCCGCTCCCCTCCAAATGGGGACTGGGGCCAAAGTAAACAAGGGAGTAAAAAAAAAAAAAAGAAATAGCTGCCTTACGCATCGACTAAACTTATTAACGTGTGTTTGCCTTGTGTGCACGAGCGCCGCTTGCCGTCGGGTAGTCTGTATACGAAGGGCTTACTCTCGCTACCAACTAATAACCACCTGTAGCCCTGTTGTAGTGGAGACCGATTGTACAGGTTACTCAGATGCAGCTCTGCACACGCCCACTGCTCCCCCAGGTTAAAGATTGGAGGGGACTGAATGTTTGCGAAATTCGCGACAAGGTCAAAAAAACACTACGAAATCAACTATTGGCACTCTCGTTCCTTTTAGCCACGAGGCCTTAGCACTAACCACAAAAAAACGGCAACAAACATTTCTAGAAAAGTCTTTTTGTTGTTCCCCTTTGCCTTAATGTACATCATTCCCCCAACGAAGGCCCTCCCCCCCCTCACTCACCTCCGTTCGTTCAGATTGCTTCATAAGCCTGCAGTTAGGAGACCCCCGACGTGGAGATCCAGAGAAAGCACAGGAGGAGGCTGAGCCGGGCACCGTCTGCTGCTGCCGGAGACCTCGGCGGTGTCCGGGCTCAGCCGCAGACTGACCCTGGTAGTGGACAGAAAACTGACCGGGCCGTTTTGTTTGTTTTGTTAACCCAGAGACCCTCGGGTCAGACGACACTACCACAGAAAACTACATGTTACCAAGTAGGAAGGTTTTTAAAAAAAAAACTGACCAGTTACATTAAATTGAAATCAACTCGTACTGTACCAGAACATATGGATGTAAAACTCGTTTTTGTTTGTTTCTTCTATGTATTCCTGCTACATACATTCCTTCACATTGTACAGTTTCTACGAAAACGCTGGCATGCTGGTGGGGTTGTATATTCTATCATCATTTGTGGTTGCTCTTCTCTGTCAATAAAGATTTTGCTCAACTTGGCCTCTAACATTGTGATGTTTGGCAAATAAGGAGTTTTTTTCTTACATTGCACTCCCGGTAATTGTGTTTACAAAAGGGGAAAAGGTTAGATCGCACATCGGCGTTATGAGGCTTTCCCAGGCTCGAGAAATGTTTTCTGTGGCATTAAAGTTGTGGAAGAAGTCACGTCCACCACAACAACAAACCAAAGGCAAGGGACGACGGATTAGCACATTCCAAACATTACAGACATGACTCAGCAGTTTGTGTGGAACAGGGTGAAAAAGACAGAAATTTAGAGCAGTAGTGGACCTCATCAAACCATAGCGCCAAGCGTCAGAAACAACCAGAGGAACTAACGGCATAACATCAATATAGTAGCCGACAACATCAAGTTCGTCAAGGTTGATGTCGGAGAAGCCTCAACATGGAAGTTAACTGAAAACCCGCAAACCTATAAATAATAGCTACCGTCAAAATTACCAAACAATGCAGACCGCAAACAAAATCAATTTCTCAGGTCAGGACTCAGCAGTTCACCTACATGTGAAGGACAAGCAGTGGAACAACGAACGCTAGGGATGCACCATTTAACTAAAGAATCATCGTAGGAGTCGGACAAGAAAGGCTTTAAAATGAGAAATCATCCAAAAATGAACATTGACAGGTAGATGACACCTAAATGTTTCGTGCAACATTAAAATAAATTAGGTGCTATCGGCTAAATTAAGCTTAAAAATATATCGGATATCAGCAAAAATGTGAGTCCACAGTTTCACCAAAGAAGACAGAGGGTTCGGAGGAGCAAAATGAGTAATTTGCGTCAAACTGAAACAACCGTCCCTCAACGGTGGAGTTGAGCTACAACGCCACCTATCAGCTACTTACAATGCAGTCCTGAGATCCCTCCTCAGACAACAGAACACCCATTCGCACCTTGACTCAACAAAGGTGCCACCGCACAAGAGTTTAAACACCACCAGGCAGTCAGAACCATGGACTGTGTAGAAAAGATGGACTGTTGGTTTCTGAAATTTGCAGTCTTTTGGAAACACGTCACGAGTGAAATGTGGATCTGATTGAGAACTTCAGGACGTCCAGAATGCCCTGTCTTATTTGTCTAGTTTCCTCTAAAATAGACCATAATTTAATAAATGAACATCACGCTGCATTGAAGGAGACTTTAAACTAACAATTGAGACCACAAACACATCAGGAAAATGTTTACCCAGGTAACAAATCAAGTGACAAGTTGGGTCATTTTGTCAGACTTCTATGCAATCTTATGTATTTCTGCCCCCTGCTGGCTGTTAGATAGAATGCAGGTTTGACCAGCTTACATCCATCGTTAATGTCTACGGTTGGAACTGAAGACAGCTTTTCAACCAACTCAAGCAAATCCAGTTTAGTTTAGATGGAAAAAAATACAAGCTAGAAAAGGTAAAAGATCAAAGTTTTCTGGACAGATGAGACCAAAATTCACCAAAGTGACGAGAAGCCAGAAAAGTGGAGAACAAAAATCAGGATGTGTCCACGATTCAAGTCGTGTCCTGAACTTTGAGGAGGTCGTGTCGAGGTTTGGACATCTGTGGCTGAAGAAGAAAATGAACCCAAACATGCTTCCTGTCAACCAAAGCTCAGGGACAAAAAACCTCAGATTTAAAGGTTCTCCTGCGCCTGCTCTCTCTGTGGATGTCTCTGTATCTGGAGCTCCTGAATTACAGCCGCTGGCCTCACCTTCTGTATCCTGCTGCCCCACCATGATGCCTCCTGTTACAAAAGGACAATAAATTCTAATAACTTGTTTAACTGTAAACTAAATTGTATAATTCATCCCACTCTCACCCAACCGGTTGAGGCAGATGGCCGTCCCTCCCTGAGCCTGGTTCTGTCTGAGGTTTTTTTTCCCCTGTGGGGGTTTTCGGTTCCTTCCCACTGTTGCAGACTGCTGAAGCTTATAGGGAATCCAAATGTTTTGGATTGTTGGGTGTTTCTGTCTCTGCCTTTGTGAAGCGCTATGAGATGACTGTTGTTGTAAATATGCGCTATACAAATAAAATTGAATTGAATTGAATTGAATTAAACCCCTGAGAGATGCCGTCACAAACAAACATAAACTGAAAAAGGCATTTTTAAAGAAGATCCCAAACATTTCATTGGTCATAGAAGTGACGCCAGCCAATGTCAAGACTTTTTCCACTTTTATTTCTTTCGACGTTCAACTGACTTTTTGCACATCGGAGAAAAAAAAAAAAGGGGACTCGACAATAAAAATGGTCGTTTGTATAAAATGACAAAATGTTTGCCGGAGGAATGCATCGAAATAAACGCCAAAGCCAGCCGCTGTGTTCTCATCTTAAACTCCTAAAGGAAGCAAAAACATCACATTTTATTTTACCGTAAAGCTTTTGGAGACGAGTCACATCACTTAAGTGTTGTTTGTTTAAATGTAAAATCTTAATCTGCAAAGGAACTAGTATTTACCGCTGCCGTTTTTACAAGTCAGGTTTAGACAAAAGCACATAGAAACATCTAGAAAGATTAAAATCGAGCCGTCTGGCTTCAGCTTTAAAATGCCACAGATACATTTTCTAAAGTGTGATAACTGACGACATTTGGTTCAGTCGTGTCAACACAAGTAAGTTTTTCTTGCTTGTGTTTTCAGACTGAATGCACCGTCATGAACCCAACCGATAGAACATTTAATAAGGAGAGACACTGCAGGAAATATTTAAAATTAAAATGTTATTTACTTGCAGTAAAACAAGAATTTTTTGCATCATTTTCTGAAATTAACTATGCAAATGAGGCCAAATTCCATTAAAAATGCACTAATTTGCATAAATAATAAACATATGGATGCATATTTTGTTTTGTTTTTTGTCAAATAAAGGCCCAAAACTGTTAAACTGATGAATGCCTGAAGTGTCTCGCCTTAAAAACTGAGAATAAAAACAATGCCATAACTTAATTAGCAAATGTCACATATGGATCCATCAAATTGTTATTTTAAAAAAAAAAACAACTAATAATTATGACAACATAAAGGAGTTTTAAACCCAAAATTATTAATTACCAAGCCAAATTTTGATTTATGGTGAATTTGACCAACAGGTTTTCTTTTAGCTGGAAATCAAGAAGTGACGAGAGTAAGAAAAGGAATTTGAACTGATTTTTTTCACCAACATTTTTTAAAGTTCATGATGTTTTCTCTATTAAACGACTCTTATTTCATTTCCAGCCAGAAAAAAACATATCGGTGAAACGTAATTTAACAATAAATCTAAATTTGGCTGGTGTGTCAGCGCCCTCTGGTGGACAGACTTTGCAACGGCAACATCGGAAAAAAAAAGTCACCAACAGTGCGATTTGTAAAACAGAAAGAAGCCACAGATCCGTAGTCATTTATGCCCAGACTGTATTTTATACTCAACAGTGTACGCTGCCAAAGCAAAATAGAAATATTACTTACAAATGTATTATCGAAAGGCACGGCATCAAAATACAATTTGACATGCTTTTTTTTTTTTTTTTCTCCTTTTTTCTCGTTAAACTTGAAGTAAACATTCAGAAGTTGACCCATCTGGCCTGTCTGTTGAGAACGCAACAGCCGTCCGTCACAGGGCGAATACTTAGCTCAGGGGGTCGCTGCTTTCAGAAGCGTCCAGTCAAAAATGGCGAAAGTGGAACTACGACTTAAATGTACAGTACTAAAAAAGAGTCAGAGCATGCGTCCTCGGCAGCCTCCCGAAAAGATCTCACATTTGTAACATTTTCTGTCAAAAAACAACAAAAACAAAAAAAAACTCTCCGTCGTTTGTGCAACAGAGGCGACACCTTTACTGCGCCCCTGTACATAAATATACACATTAAATATACATTCGGAGGAGCAGGGAGAAAAGGAGCATGCAGATTTGGTCCACCTTCACAGCAGCCAGCTAATAAAAAAAAAAAAAAAAAA